TTATAACCAACTTTTGCCACTATTTATCGTTTAACATTTATTTACGCGAATTATTGTTAAATAAGGAGTAGAAGACTGTTGTAAAAATAATAATGAAATAATGAAATGAAATGAAATGGAAAGAAAAAGAGAAATTAAAAAAGAAAAGCAAAAAAAAAAAAAAAGAAGAGTGAAGATTCAAAATAATAGACGAGGAACGCGACAATATCCAAAGAGAGACTTCGTAATCTCTCTTGAGAATATAGGATAAGGAATTTAAAGAAAAAAAATTACGAAAAAAAGAAGGTTAAATAAAAGAGATATAAAAAAAGTGTTAAAAACAATCGAGTAAATAAAAACAAAAACAAAAACAAAAAAAACGCAGGTTCTCAGTTTAATTTAAAAAACGAGACAAAAAAAAATTACGTTTCTGTCGTTCGACACTTTATCGTTTTGTTTCTTTATTTTTTCTTTTTTTTTTTTTTTTAATAAAAAATTTTAATTATATATATACTTTGGTGAAAAATTTTAATGCATACGTAAAAGTAACGTGTTTTATTTTATCTGAGAATATTTGAATTAAAAATCATTGTGTTTTGATTTAGACGAAATTTATTATACAAAAAATTGTATATTTGATTTTAACTTAGCAAAAAAAAACAAATATATAAAAAAAATAATTAATCCTTTGAGTGCTAAATACTTTTACCAACAATGTTTTGTAGAAACAGAATAATTTATTATTAATAAATTATATTTAATAATTGAAGTTTTTGTTTCTGAATATAATTTAATTAATTTTAATTATAATTAATTATAATTTAATATAATAATTATATTGATTATAAATTAATATAATATTAATTATAATTTAATATAATATTAATTACAATTTAATATAATAATTATATTAATTATAAATTAATATAATATTAATTAGAATTTAATATAATATTAATTAGAATTTAATATAATAATTATATTAATTATAAATTAATTTAATATTAATTATAATTTAATATAATATTAATTACAATTTAATATAATAATTATATTAATTATAAATTAATATAATATTAATTATAATTTAAAATATAATAATTATATTAATTATAAATTAATCTAATAATAATTAATTATAATTATAATTAATTATTAAATAACATAAATATTAAATAATTTTACATTAATATTTACAAACACGTATATGCTTTGAACAATAATGTTAGTAATATTTACTAAACGCATATATGCGTCGATAGTACTCAAAGGGTTAAGTTCTTCCCGTTTTAATACGTTCAATACTAGAAATATTGTTTTTCAATTTTGAAATGAATATGTTTTACTGATAGAAACGTACTTTTATATTTTTTTTAGATTGACTTCTTTTAATTATTTTTAATACTCCTTGATAGATACTCAAAAAAAAAGGGCAAAGAACAAACAAAAAAGACAGAAAGAATGAGAAGAAGTATAATCATGTTCCATATCTTATGAAAAACGAAAACGAACAGTCAAAGTGAGTCATTTGATATTTATCTCAATGATAAATACAGTAAAATAACACGCCTATCACTACCAAACTGTTATATATATATATATATATATATATAGGTCATTCGTTTGATCTCGGTACCATTTTAGGATAAATAATTTAAAAAAAAAAAAAAAGAACAAAATGAAAAGAAAAAAAAAGAACAAAAAAAAAAAAAGAAAATATATAAACCATATGTGTATTATTCTTATACTAATTTTTTTATTAGACAATTGGAAAGAAAAACACAAAAAAAAATACAAAGCGCGATGCTGTATTAATAAAATAATAAATAAATTAAGAAATAAAGAAACAGTAAGAGAGAGAGAGAGAGAGAGAGAGAGAGAGTTGGTTAAAATCAATGATGAGAGAAAAAACTAATCGGAACAACCAACCAATCAACAACAAAAGTGGGATATATTGGATCGTTAATACTAAGATTGATAATAATATTCCGCTTTTTATTATTATTATTAATTCNGGAGAAGAAGAAAAAAAGAAAAAGAAAGAAAGGTTTAGAAAAAATTCCATGAACGATTAAAAATTGAAACAACCAACCAATCAACAACAAAAGTGGGATATATTGGATCGTTAATACTAAGATTGATAATAATATTCCGCTTTTTATTATTATTATTAATTCTATTATTGATTATTATTAATTATTATTAATTATTATTAATTATTAATTATTAATTATTATTACATTATATTAGTTATCTATTGCAAATGATAATTTATCTAACGCGCTGTCTCGCGAATCGTTATGTAATAAGTTATATTTAAAATTATTGAAATGTGCGACATTGTAAAAAAAAAGGGGGAAGAAACAACAAAATAATTAAGAAAGAAAAATACAGAAGAAAAAAAGAACCATGCTAATTGTCAGGGGCTGCTTTAAAAGAAAAAGAAAAAGAAGAAGATGAGGAAGATGATGATGATGATGAAAATGAAAATGAAGGTGAACAAAAAATAATAATAATAATAATTGTAAACGCGCTTTCATTTTTTATGTGCATGGCGGACCAAAGATGATGAGCCCTTTTGTTTCATATGTAAATTCCTCATTCCAACAGAATTTACTGGGTTCGAGCAGCACACACACACACACACAACACACACACACGCGTAAGCTGCATACTCGTATATGAGATGTCGAAATCTATGATAATCATGTTTTTTATATTTTGTTCTTTTTTTATTGTATTATTCTGTAAGCCATTATGTTCATAGATCATAAAAATAAGGGATGAACAACTCGTAGAATTATTTTTCTTTACCAATTTTTATGTCAAAAGGTAATTCACTCACAGAATTCATTGATTATTCAATTTAACCAGTTAAGTGTGGCGATGATCTGTGCGCAGAGCGCGCTCTGGTGTGTGTCGCGATAATCAAGCGATGTCGGATATAGTCGTCGAACACAGAAGTAAATGGCGCTCGCTGTTGAAATATTGGATAGTAAAAAAAAAACGACTTTATTTTAGACAAATGAACAATTTTGTTAGTAATGTAAGACACAGTTTTTTAATATGAACATATATTTATACATAATAAACGAAAAAATTAGAGAAAAAATAATAATCGAATATTTATAAAAATTATAAAAATTTATTCTCGACTTGTTTTTTCTTCTTCTTCACCTTTAAACATTTGAAACATATTAAAATTTACGAATTAAATTTAGTTTTTTCGTCAAAATTACAATATAAAATATCTAATTGTAACAAACTTTTACGCATGACAGATATAGACGTCATAACACAAAATTCTAGCCACATCTCCATGACGGATATAGTCGTTAAACACGCTTAACTGGTTAAGGGATAATTTTCGAAAAAAATTTCAATCAAATTTAAACAAAACTTAAATGTAATTATGGTTGTTTGTATTTATTTATTTGTTAAACGTATCTACCAAATAGCTCTCTTTCTCATAGCTGTCTGCGTTGTGTGATTTGAATAATTGAGCAAAAATTTGAATAAGAATATAGAAGAATAATAAGGGATGTTGTAAAAAGATTTCAAGTAAAAATTAAAATGAAAAAAAAAGACAAGAAACGAAAAGAAACGAAACGAAACGAATATAAAACAAGACAAAAATGTAAAAAAAAAAAAATAATGCTGAAGAAACGCGAAAAAAAAAGAGATTAAAAATTCAAAAAAAAAAATTAAAAAATAACAATACTAGTAATAATAATAATAATAATAATAATAATAATAATAATAATAATAATAATAATAATAATAATTCAGGAGCGAAATTTTGAGAGAGAAAAAAAATAAAGTGAGAGTAGTATCTGCGATATACGAGTTTGCGGATCGTGTGAAAATGTACAATAGACGCATTGTGATTATTAAAACAAACAAACAAAAACAACAACAAAAATAAATCGTGAAAGATCGTATAAGTAATTAAGTAAGTAAGAAAGAAAGAAAGAAAGAAAGAAAGGAAGAAAGGAAGAAAGAAAGAAAGTACGAATGAGTTATTAGAAGGAAGAAAAAGGTAAACAAAGAAAAATAGGCTGCGCAAAAGGGGTGCATGTGAACATGAGAAATGAAAACAAAGAAACAAACAAAATGAATGAGAGAAAGATTATACCTATGTAAATATATTCATATTATATAAATATATAAATATATAAATATAAATATAATTATACATATATATATATATATATATATATATATATAAACTATAATTATATATATATATATTAACATAACAAAATGGTAATGCGAATATGAGAAGAACAAACAAACAAACAAACAAACAAAAAATACTTGTTTTTATATCAGATCTGTATTATAGCGAAACATTATTCTGTATTTTGTAATCAGAACGGAAGTT